AAAAGCAGTTATATTTTTAATAGGGAAAAAGAGAAACCAAACAATTCTTTGGGAAGAAAGGTTTTATAGCTTTTAACTCTAAGAATGTTGTGACTCCCACTTTCATTTACTTAATTTTCCTTTTTCTAAATTGAGAGCTCACATTCAAGTGGTTTACTCCCCAAATGCCCACAATGGCCTGGGCTGGTGAGAACTCAATCCAGGTTATCTACATGGGTGGCAGGGACCCAATTACTTGAGATATAACCACTGCCTCCCAGGGCGTGCATGAGCAGGAAGCTGGAGTCAGGAGCCAGAGTCAGGTGTTAAATCCAGGTACTCTGATGTGGGACAGGCCTCTTCAACTGCTAGGCTGAACGCCCACCCTATGTGAGTCTCACTTTTTAAAGAAACAGTGCTATGAAAAAAATTTGAAGTGCCTTTCAAAATAAACTGAAATATGCAACAAAACACAAAAGCGGAGATGACTGAAGTAAAGGAATGGAACTACTTGCTGTTTATGACAAAATTTCCTGGAGACCAGGACTATGACTGGCTGTCTTTGCATCCCCCACAGTGCTGAGCACAGTGAGCGACCACTGGAGAGGAAACATCCCAGCAGTGGCTAAAAGCGCAGCTAGAGCACCGTGAGGCTGACTGAAGGCCATCTGGGGAGTCAACCAGCACTGGAAGGCAGCAGGTGAAGGCTCAAGTGCTTGGGTCCCTGCCACCCATGTAGGAAACCCAAATGGAGTTCTGAGCTTCTGGCTTTGGCCAACCCAGCATCTGGGGACTGAACCAGCAGACAGAAGATCTGCTTCTTTATTTCTCTGGGTAGGGAAAACCTACCAAAAAAAAAAGTAGATTGAAAGCCTGAATCTTCACAGTAGTCTCACTTACAGCAACAGTTTTCTAGGCCTGTGGGACAGTCATTGCAAAGATAAATGACTGATGCTCAAGTGGCTCCTAGAAACTGAGCTACTATCTCCAGATTCACTCATAGTTCAGATAATTCCACACTGTCCCATTTTATCCAGTATTGCTGAATACAGGACAATGAGGCTTCTTTTTAAAATGAACTGACCTTATACAAATGCTTTAAGATCATGCATCCTTCAAGAGGTAATACCAGGTAATGAATGTCCAAATACCAGCAGAGGCAGTATAATGTAACAGTCAAGAGTTCAGACACCAATCCAGACATGGGTTAAAATTCAGCTCCTTCACTAAACAGCTATGTGGTACTGTAACACATTCTTCCTACAGTAAGATTAAGCTGCAATTAATTTAAGACTTGAGCATGTAGTAGCTTTAAATGTTACTGCTTTCCTGCCTAAAACTGTCCAGATCTCCTTGACTGGACCTGCACTACCAGTAACAGTCTCAGTCACTCATTTTTAGGGTAGAGCTTTCTAGATGGTTGATCTCATTCATTATGCTCTGAATCTCCTAAACAACTCCACTAAGAACAATCTTATTTTAAAACTCTCTGGTTCTTGAACCCATGCAATGGACTTCAACAATGAAAATAAAGAGCAGTGAGGAAAAACCATAGAAAAAAAATCCAATTAAACTGGAACAAAAAACTACTTAGTTGTCTAAAACTGTCTAAACTGATGATTTATTAAAATTCATTAATTCTGTATGCTGGAGACAATCTGGAGCAAAGTCTAGGCTATCAGCAATGACTTCTAGGACAATATGAAGCACTCTAACCCCATGGAGGCAGACACCCGCCTATGCGCACCACCCCCGCTCCTCTCTTTAAACCCAGCAATCTTTTTGCCTATGGTTGAGAGTTTCGTGGAGGCAGGGAGAAATACAGGAGGGAAATAAGTGCCACAGATTCATTTTTTGCACAAGCCCTTCAAAACTAAATCCCAACAGGTTTCTCTCTCTCAGGTCTCTCCCCACATCCCACACACAGCCACCAAACTTCCTAAACTACCAGTTTCATCACATCAAAACTTAATACCTACGGTCAAAACATAATTTTAAACTTCTCGGTCCAAGAGCTTAATAGCTCCTAATCCACTATTCACTATTATTCAACTATTTAGTTAGAGAAAGCAAAAACCGAAATTCCAGGCTCAGGCTATCATTATTCCAGGCTTATAATGCAGAACTTTCGAACTCCTAATTCCCCCAGGGAAATTCTCTAAAGCTCCAACAGATCTGTTTACTGTCCTCCCAACACAAACGGCCTGCAACCCAGGCTGGGTTACACCCACCTCTGCCCACACCACTTCACCCTTCTGCCGTTGCTTGCTTCGTTGCTTCCCAAACCAGCCGGGGTCCCCCCCCCCAGCTCCAAAGTTCCATCTCTGACCCCCACTGTGCTCCCACAGCGCACGCTGTCCACACTGACCCCATTCTGACCCTCGTCACATGCATCCTTTTTAGGCAGCTATACTCTCAAGACATCTTAATCGGCTCCAACACACGGCAAGTTCCTTGGAAGGCAGACCGCGGACGTAACACGCGGAGGATCTGTCACCGTGCCCTGCACTTAGTAGGTCCTGGATATTAATGATTAAAACCAGGAGAGGTTCTAATAATGTACCAAGATAGGAGAACAAGGCCACGCCGCCTGTCCATCTGTGTTTAGAGATCAGAGTATTTAGCGTTCACCCCGAGGCGAAGTGGAGGCAGCACGCCACCAGACAGTAACAGCTCCGCGCCCTGACCCTGGGCTTGCCACTATCCCTGCAATTGTTGGGGGGAATATCCCACCATCTCCCCTCAGGCAGCTGCTGCACAGGACCCCACGGTGTCTTTCTGCTTCCCAGTTCTCCGCGCCAGGAAGCCCAGGACTGTCTCCTCACCACGGCGGAGCCAGGCAAACTTTCACCGTTCCCAACGCGGGCACTGATTTCCACACGGTCCTAGACACTCAGCGCCCACCGGCGAAGGCAGGGCTGAGCACGGTGAGCAGCGGGCTCGCCCGCAGCCTCCACCGCGCGGCAAGGGCGCCCGCCTCCCGTCCCCGGGCCGGCAGCAGGACTCGGCGAGAGCGGCGCGGCTCCCCAGAGCGGCCCGGGGTGGCTCCCCCCTTGCCCCGCGCCCCCTGCCTGGGGGCACATGCCCTGTGGCCCCGGGGCACGGCTCTCCGGCCGCCCTCACCAGCCTGAAGGACGTCCTCCAGTCCGCGCCGGGCCGGGCCCCTCGCTCCGTTCCGACGAGCAGCCTTTCCGGGAGCCGCGGCGGCCTCGGGGCGGCCGTCGGGGCCCAGGTCGGCGGCACGGGCGCCGTGAGGGGCGGCGGCGGCGCGGCTTCAAGTGCTGAATCACCACTTTGCAACCCGAGCGCCAAACCACCTTGGCCGAGCGTCCGGGCGCTCCGTTCCACTTACCCGCAGAGGCGCTCCGAGGGCAGCAGGCGGGCACCTAGGATGGAGCGGAAAGTGCTGGGCAGCGCGGGGTGCAGCAGCCACGCAAGCCGGTACCGCATACCCCAGCGCAGCCGCTGGGATCACCGAGAACGCTTCCTTCTTGCGCCGGGAGCCGGCCGCGTGCACTGCGCATGCCCGGCCCGCGCCGCGCCGCCTCCCGGGAACCCGAAAAAGGCCTCTGCTCCGGATTTTGCTTAGAGCCGGACGCGCGCCACCGGGACTGCTGGGACGGACGGTCGCACACGGTTCTAGCCGGGGAGCCTAGGAACCGCAGTAACCAGGCCTTCCTAGACGGAGGGAGCCGCAGCTGGGTCACACGCGGGCGCACCAGTGAGGGTTGCGGTGTGTCTGTGGCTAAAGGAGCCAGGGTAATGCGCTGATGAATATAGTGAGGAGGGTACACGGGGCCCTGTTTTCTGGGGGCATTGGCTAGGGGTTCCCCGACCCTGAGGTGTTGGAATAAGATCGGCAGGTGCCGCGGCCTCCCAGAAAACGGACCCGCGGTGTGGGCTCCGCGGACTCCATCTGCAACGCGGAGGGGACATGGAACTGCGAAGGCGGCTGCGCCAGGGCCCGGGCCCGGGAGGGCAGTAGGGGAGATTCAGATCTCTAGGAGTCCTGAGAGGGGCGTTTCAGTCCTGGGAAGCCAGCAGCTCTGCAGAGAGGAAGGTGGGGTCAGGGCGGGCCACGGCCAAAACAAGGTTTTCGTCGACTTTGAAATGCAGAGTAGAAACTTCTGGCGGTGCTGGGTCTACTATTACCGGTGGCTGCCTAAGGCGCCACTTTGAATGCTTTTCTCCCCCGTGGCTTCACGGTGCTCCGTATCCACGAATGGTCTAGTAAGGTCAGGTATTGGCCTGAATTGTGTTTTGCCAGAGCTCTAAGAAGGAGTGCCGTTAGGGATGGTGACTCTCCCCACCCCGCCTTAAGTCATTTTAGGTTTCTTTCCGAAGTGGCAGACCCAAGACTGCAGGCGGAAACAGTGTCCAGAATCCTGCTATGGCTTCAAGATGGAATTCGGTAGAAGAATCCCTTAATAACGTCGATGCTTCATCAAAGAGATGATGTTTAAAGGCAAACCTTTGGATAAAAACAGTAAATATTACTGCAAGCCTCTTCGCTGATGGCTGCAAGCACACGGTTTTAGGAACCTTTAAGGAGTCAGCATTGTGGCTCAGCGGGTAAAGCCACTGCCAGCGCAGCTCCAACTGTTGCGGTCATTTGGAGAGTGAACCAGCAGATGGAAGACCTCTCTCTCTCTCTCTCTCTCTCTCTCTCTCTCTCTGCCTCTCCTCTCTTTGTGTAACTCTGACTTTCAAGTAAAATAAATAAATCTTAAAAAAAAAAAAAAGCAGAAATCAATGATGCCCTGAAATCATCCCTCATCCCAGTTGGGATAATTAGACATAAATTCAAATATATGTATTCTAACATACTTGAATGCAAATATAAATTATTTTCAATTGGAGCTGGCATTATGATGCAATAGGTTAAGTCACTGCCTGTAGTACTGGCATCTCATATGGGAGCCCGTTTGACTCCCGGCTCCTCCACTTCCCTTCCAGTTTCCTGCTAATACTCCTGGGAAAGTAGCAGAAGATGACCCAAGTCCTTGGGCTCCTGTACTTACATGGGAAACCCAGCTAAAGCTCCTGGCTCCTGGCTTCATCCTGGCCCAGCCCTCACCATTGCAGCCATTTGGTGAGTGAACAGCATATGTCAGATCTCTCTGTCTCTCCACGTAGATCTGCATTTCAAATAAATAAATAAACCTTTTAGAATCCCTTAAAAATTATTATTGATTCATTCATGCTGTAAAGTCTTTCCATTGGCCCAGATAGTGTGGAGTTCATTGTAGAGTTAAGCAGGAGCTCCTAACAAATTGGTGGGGCTGGGGAGGAAGGGAGTGAAAAAGAAGCCCAGTGGTGAGAGGTTGGTACTTATTTCTTAACTGGAGACATTCAGAAAAATTATGTCTTTTGAGTCACTCTAACTTACTGTCTTGCTATAAATTCAAAATCAAAATAAAATTTCTTTGGGTGGGCATTTGGCAGTTATTAAGATGCCACTTGGGATGTCCATATTCCAGATAGGAGTGCCTGGGTTTGAGGCCAAGCTCCATTTCCAATTCCAGCTTCCCTGTAATGTGCATTGGGGAGGAAGCAGGTGATTGTCCAAGGACTTGGGTCCAAAGATTGTCCAAGGACATGGGAGACATGGATTGAGTTTCTGGTTAGAGTTCTAGGCTCCTGGCTTTGGCTTGGCCATCAGCTGTTGCAGGCATTTGGAGAGTGAACCAGCAGATGAGAGATATATCTGTCCCCCTGCCTTTATTTATTTGTTTGTTTTTTTATTTTTTACAGGCAGAGTGGACAGAGAGAGAGAGACAGAGAGAAAGCTCTTCCTTTTGCCGTTGGCTCACCCTCCAATGGCCGCCGCGGCTGGCGCCCTGCGGCCGGCGCACCGCACTAATCCGATGGCAGAAGCCAGGTACTTCTCCTGGTCTCCCATGGGGTGCAGGGCCCAAGCACTTGGGCCGTCCTCCACTGCACTCCCTGGCCACAGCAGAGAGCTGGCCTGGAAGAGGGGCAACCGGGACAGAATCCGGCGCCCCCACCAGGACTAGGTGGAGGATTAGCCTAGTGAGCTGCGGCACCGGCCTTGTCCCCCTGCCTTTAAACAATAAAAATAAGTAAACAAATTTTAAAATAAAGTTTTAATTATTTAACAAATGTTTACTGGCAGGCGCCGCAGCTCACTAGGCTAATCCTCCGCCTTGCGGCACCGGCACACCAGGTTCTAGTCCAGTTGGGGCGCCGGATTCTGTCCAGGTTGCCCCTCTTCCAGGACAGCTCTCTGCTGTGGCCCGGGAATGCAGTGGAAGATGGCCCAAGTGCTTGGGCCCTGCACCATTATGAGAGACCAGGAAAAGCATCTGGCTCCCAACTTCGGATCAGTGTGGTGCGCCGGCCGCAGCGGCCATTGGATGGTGAACCAACAGTAAAGGAAGACCTTTCTTCCTGTCTCTCTCTCACTGTCCACTGTGCCTGAAAAAAAAAAAAAAAAAAAGTTTACTGAGCATAGGTGTGTAACCTTATCATAGTCACAATGATGAATAAAAAAGATCCTGGGGGCCAGCACTGTGGCGCATTGGGTAAAGCTGCTGCCTGCAGCACCGGCATCCCATATGGGCGCCAGTTCAAGTCCCAGTTGCTCCACTTCCAACATCCAGCTCTCTGCTGTGCCCTGCGAAAGCAGTGGAAGATGGCTCAAGTCCTTGGTGCACTGCACCTGCATGGGAGACGTGGAAGAAGCTCCTGGCTCCTGGCTTCTGATGGGCGCAGCTCCAACCGTTATGACCATCTAGGGAGTGTACCAGCAGATGAAAGACTTTCTCTCTCTCTCTCTCTCTCCCCCCCCTCTGTAATTCTGCCTTTCAAATAATTAAATAAATATTTTTAAAAAGAGTGTTATACTACTATAGTTGAAAAAAAAAAAAAAAAGGGCCGGCGTGGCTCACTAGGCTAATCTGCCTGCGGTGCTGGCACCCCGGGTTCTAGTCCCAGTCGGGGCGCCGGATTCTGTCCCAGTTGCTCCTCTTCCAGTCCAGCTCTCTGCTGTGGCCCGGGAAGGCAGTGGAGGATGGCCCAAATGCTTGGGCCCTGCACCCTCATGGGAGACCAGGAGGAAATACCTGGCTCCTGGCTTTGGATTGGCGCAGCGTGCCAGCCGTGGCAGCCATTTGGGGGGTGAACCAACGGAAAAGGAAGATCTTTCTCTCTGTCTCTCTCTCTCACTAACTCTGCCTGTTAAAAAATAATTTTTTTTTAAAAAAGATCCTGCACTAGTACTTTTTGCTGGAGAGGGAAGACAAAAATTCCCTAAGAAAAGGGACATTCCCAATATCTTTCTAATTTCCACTGTATCCAGATCTTTCCCTAAAACACTTATAAAATAAAAAGTTGGCTCCAACTACAGTGTGAGATAAAATTCTTCCATACTGGGGTGCGGCGCCGGCATCCCATATGGGCGCCAGTTCAAGACCAGGCTGCTCCTCTTCCAATCCAGCTCTCTGCTATGGCCTGGGAAGGCAGTGGAAGATGGCCCAAGTCCTTGGGCCCCTGCACCCGCCTGAGAGACCCGGAGGAAGCTCCTGGCTTCTAATCGGCGCAGCTCCAGCTGTTGCGACCATTTGGAGAGTGAACCAGTGGATGGAGGACCTCTCTCTCTCTGTCTCTCCTTCTCACTGTCTGTAACTCTACCTCTCAAATAAATAAATAAAATCTTTAAAAAAAATTCTACCATACTATGTTCCAGCCCCAACCCATCTGTATTAGTTTCCTGGGCAGTCACAACAAATTACCACTAACTCAATGACTTAAAACAATAGAACTTTATTCTCTCACAATCTGGAAGTCAGAACTCCAAAATCAGGTATTAGCAGCACCATATTCCCTTCAGAGAATCTGCGGGCTTGTTCCTGGCCTCTTTCAGGTTCTGGTAGTTGCCAGCTTCCTTGGCTTGTGGTCATATCACTCATGCTCTGCCTGTTTGTTCACACTGGTTTCTCCTCTGTGTGTCCTTTTTCAAATGTGTTTATTTTTTTTTATTTATTTGAGATGGAGAGCAACAGATAGAGCTCCTATCTGTTGGTTCACTCCCCAAATGCCCACAAAGTCCAAGGCTAAAACCAGGAGACGGGAATACAAAGCAGGTCTACCCAGGGATAGCTGGAACCCATTTACTTGAGCCATCATGACTGCCTCTCAGGGTCTGCGTTCTCAGGAAGCTGGAGCCAGAGCCTGAGCCAAGTACTGAACCAAGGCATTCCGATGGAGGATCCAAGTTTCTTTCTTTCTTTCTTTCTTTCTTTCTTTCTTTCTTTCTTTCTTTCTTTCTTTCTTTCTTTCTTTCTTTCTTTTTTTAGTATTATTTATGTATTTAAAAGGCAGAGTTACTGAAAGGCAGATGCAGAGAGAGAGAGAGAGGTCTTCCATCCACTGGTTCACTCCCCAATTGGCCTCAACAGCTGGAGCTGGGACAATCTGAAGCCAGGAGTCAGGAGCTTCCTCTGGGTCTCCCACATGGGTGCAAGGGCCCAAGGACTTGGGCCATCTTCTACTGCTTTCCCAGGCCATAGCAGAAAGCTTGATCAGAAGTGGAACAGCCAGGACTCGAACCTGTGCCCATATGGGATGCCGGCACCACAGGCAGTGGCTTTACCCGTTATGCCACAGTGCCGGCCCCTAGAGGTTTCTTAATTCCTAGGTTAAATGCCTGCTCCTATTCTTTTATAAGGACGTTCTCATTGAGTTTAGGGCACAGCTGGAAAATTCAAGACAATCTCATCTCATCATTAGCTTAATTATGTCTGCAAAGACACTTCTTCGAAATAATGGGACATTCATAGGCTCCTGGGATTAGGATGTAATTGGGAGGGGGGCACCATTCAATCTACTACATCACATTTCCAAGCCTTTGCTTTCACCCTCCGCCAGCTCCAGCTCACAGCTGTCACAGCTAATTGATGCTCAACTAACTTGTCAGTGCTGTAGCAACTTTCAAACCCAGCTGAAATGTCATTGCTTTCACAAAATTTCTCATTCCTGTTCCTCACATACCCCATTGGAAGCAGTAATTTCCTGATCTGAGCCACCAGAGTAGTTTGCTACTTTCTAAAAACACTTATTTGAATCTTAACCTTACATACTTATAAGAGGCACCACACTGGGAATGATGTCCTGGTCCATCTTCAAAAGCCACCTGGCAGCTAACACAGTGCTCAGTAAATGCTTATCCAATACACTTTTGCTGAATCTGAATCAGCCACTACTGTAACTACCATTTTCAGGCAATTCAGGGACAAACACATTACATCGCAGTATGAGAATACAATTAGAAATATTTAGAATTTTTGGGACAGTACAGGACAAATGGCCTGATTTCTTCATCAAATAACTTGCAAAATAAGAAAGAAATCTAATGGATTAAAGAGGAATTAAAATTGGCAAGATATGGCAACCTGTTTATAAAATTATACGGAGTCAGTGTGGTGGCACAATGGGTTAAGCGGCTGCCTATGATGCCAGCATCCCATATGAGAACTGGTTTGAGTTTCAGTTGCTCCATTTCTGATCCAACTTTCTGAGAGGGAAGAGCAAAATGGCTCAAATACTTGGGCCCCTGCCACTCACATGGGAGACCCAGATAGAGTTCCAGGCTCCTGACTCCTGGCTTCAGCCTGGCCCAGCCCCAGCCATTGTGGGCAGTCACTTGTAGAGTGAAGCAGCAGATGGAAGATCTCTCTTTCAGTCTCTCCCCCTCTCTCTGTAACTCTGCCTTTCAAATAAATAAATCTTTCTTTTTGAAAAAAGAAAATTACTATATATGGGCACTTATGGTTTATTTTTCTGTTTTAAATTATTTAATAAAATCTTCAAAAAAAGAGATAATCTTAGAGAGTGGGCATTTTAGTCTAGTGGTTGAGATGTCTGCAAACCACATTTGAGCTAGGCTAGATTCCTAGCTTCAGCTCCCAACTCCAGATGCCTACCAACACAGACCCGGGAAGCAGTGGTAATGGCTCAAGTAACCAGGTTCATGCCACCCTTGTGGGACCTAAATTGCTTTCCTAGCTTTTGACTTCAGTCCAACCAAGCTCCAGCCATGGTGGACATCTGAGGAATCAGCCAAAGAGCAGGTGCTTTCTCTCTACGTCTCCCTAATAAATTAATTAAAGCTTATTTT